AGAGCAATACCTCCTTCAGGAGCACCCTTGGGCACCACAAGGCAGGGGCTCCAGTCTCAGGGCATGCCACAAACCCCTGACACCCAGCCACACAGTCACCACCTGGAAGAGAGGCAGACCGGCCTTCTGGGAGCAACTCAAGGCCCGTTTCCACCTGGCCCTCAAACAACCCACAATGCAGGCCAGAGGACTGACCAAAGGCTTCATGCAAGCCACAGCTGATGTGCCCAAGCACTGGGTGGGAACCCCCACCTGGGGTCAATTTCTTGATACGTGCCATCATTGGAGGCAGTATCGTGATGACCATGCTGCCACGCTCATCTGCCACACCCTTGAACATCAGCTCCAGCTGGCCCACCAGGCTGCCAATGATGAAAACCATCTACAATACAAAGCATGGCTCCAACAAGGCTACACCAAGGGCCTGAAGGGCCTGTTCCGCAGCCTCCGCAGCAGCGAACTGGCATGGGAAAGACCATACAGAACCTTGCCACCAGATGAGAGGATGACACAAAGACTTCAAGACTGGGGAAAGCTTTGGCAAATCAGGCAAGAAGATCAACCACCTGAAAGACTTACCCTCCAAGAACTGGCCAAGCAGCAAGGTCAGCAGCTAGAGCCTCTGACTCTCAGCCAACTCACGTGGGCGCTCCGCCACCTGCCTGATAAAGCTTGTGGCCCTGATGCAGTGACAGCACAATTGCTCAGAACGGCTCCCCCACTGGCTGTCAAGGCCCTTCTCAAGCTCTACCAAGAGATGGAAACCAAGGTACAGCTGCCCACCCAACAGCAGATGCACATGGTGGTGATGCTCCCAAAAAAATGAGACCAAAGAACGGCCAATCACACTCACATCCCTGCTCTACAGGGTATGGTGTCGCCTGCGAAAGCCCTTGCTTGATGACTGGCAAAAACAATTACCAGCCACCATGCAACATGACAGAGCCCGTCCAGGGGCACAAGTGCTCCATGTAGCCCTCGAACGGCTACTGCGACAAGAGGTGCATCGTGCAACTGGGCGATTTGGAGTGACCTGCCTTATGGACATGTCCACTTTCTACGACACCATCAACCTTCAGCGACTCCAGACTGAAGCCCTGAACTTGCAGTACCCTCCACTGATGCTTGAAATGGCTTTGCAAGTCTATCATGGCCCCAAGGCCATTGTTGCGGAGCAGGAGATGACGCCATTCTTCACCGTCACCCATGGAGTCCCAGCTGGATGCCCCCAGGCCCCACTGCTGGCCAAGGCAGTGCTCGCCCCAGCACTCCAACCATGGCAGCAGGCTCATCCCAACATCCACCTCTCCAGTTGGGTTGACGATGTGGGTTTTGACACCGCCAGCAAAACCCCAGTCCAGGCAGCGAGAGCCTCTGTGGACGCCTACCGAGACCTCCATGCAAGGCTCCAGCAACTAGGTCTTCAAGTCAATCCAAAGAAGACAGCATTTGTCACCACTGACAAGGCCACTGAACGAGAGCTCAGGGCATTGCTCACAGACAACGATCCCCAGATAGAGCCAGTCATGAGAGACTTAGGCATTGATCATCAGGCAGCCCGCAAGAGGAGGATCCCGGTGATGAAGCAGCGCATCAAAAAAGCACACCGCAGGAAAATCAAGTTGAGGAGCCTCAAAATCCCAGCCCTCAAAATCCGGCTGCGCCTCCATCGGGGAGGCATTCAACCCGTTGCTCTGTGGGGTGTCGAAAGTCAAGGCCTTGCACCTCGATATCGAGCGGCACTGAGACACAGCATGGCAAAGCACTTGGGCCATCACACGGGCGGCCTTCTGGATGTCATCTATGATATCCATGCCAAGCGCTACATCGACCCTGCTGACCAGGTCATCATACAGCACATAAGAGCCATCCATCACCTCATCCAAGCATGGCCACCTGACCAAATGCCTACTCTTGAACAAGCGTGGCAACTGACCAGACAGCAGCTGCAGGAGAAACAATACCTATGGTACACTGTACGAGGACCCTTGGCAGCCACGATTGTCTACCTCCTGGAATGGGGATGGCAACCGCGAGACCTGCTGCATTGGCACCGGCCAGAAACCAAGCTGATGTTGGCAGAAGAGCTCCACCTTCAGCAACCATGGTGGGCCATTGAGCGAACCCTCACTCGTGAAGCTCAACAGCGGCGCACAGCCAGACTGGCCAGTCACATGGGTCCAGGCGGCATTGCAGTACAGAGATGCGCACCAGATCAAGAACTGTCCGCAGTGCCAAGTCCCAGCCACGGCAAAACACATACTCTGGCTATGCAAATGGCACAAAACTCAAAACCATGAACCCATGCCACCCGAGTGGATGGACCGCATTACGAGTCATGATGAAGAACGCTTGTGGGCCCATGGATGGATACCTCTTGAACCACAAGAAGCAAGAACTCAGCAACACCCACTCCAGGGACATGGCTGCTGGGCCGGCATGCAAGTCATCCCGCTCCAACAACACTGCGGCTGGGCATTCACTCTGGATGCTACTCCTTCCACCTATGACCAGCGCAGCCAGATGTGGATCTTCGGTCTTTGTGCCCACAACATGGCTCTGGGACAACTCAAGAAGCTGGGATCCATCACCGGGGTAGCAACCGGAGAACAAACCAAAGTCCGGGCGATTCTCACCGGATTGGTAGCCCTCACACACCACACGGCAGACCATGTCAAGGTCATTGTCCAGCTGGCATCCGTCTGGGAAGCCTGGCACCATGAAAAGCAACGGCACCCCTACCAAGACATCTTGAATGAAGTACCACCCCAGGACTTCAAACGCGTCACGGTGCTTTATATTAGCAAAAACACCAGGACACCGGACCAACCAGCCAATGAGCCGCAACTAAGGCGAAGGCAAAGGGAAACAGCACTGGCAGCTTGGGAACGTGCCAAGACCCTGTACGACAGCAAACAGGAGGAATGGCAGGAAACCCTAGACCAAGATCACAAATTGATCTATGAGCATGCCGTCCAACGCCTCAGCAAAATCTTTGCTGACAGCCAGCACTATGTGCACCAAAAGGCTCCCAAGCACCAAGGCAAGCAAACGAAGCAATACAAAAAGGAGCTCATCAACCGCTGTCGACAGGCATGGGACGAAGAGCACCACCACTGGGAGCAACACCAAAGAAGCGGATACCAATGCCGCAACTGTGGCCTGCGCATGCATCAAGGCCTTACTGCTGACATCTTGCAAACCAGGTTGGCCGAGACCTGCCCTCAGAAGGTGTTCCATGAAGCAGTCAACTCACCAGACACAGAGCAACAACTGCCCAGAAAACTCACCAGGATGCAGCAGATCAAGGCGCTGCTGGACAACCAACCAGAGCAGCCTATGCCAGGCCACCACCAACTGGCTGAAACCACTGGCTACCTGAAGTGTGTGGTGTGCAACCTCAACATCCACAAGCGGGTCAATGAAGAGGCATTCAAAACCTTCATCCACAGCACCTGCATCAACCAAGCCTATCAGGCTGAACACCATGGACACCCAAGCCATGCACTCTGGCAAGTGGGCGAGCGAGTCAAATGTAAACAATGTGGCACTCAATGGAACTTGGATGGGCAACATCGCATCATTGCGACACAGGCCTTTCACAAGCCCTGTCGAGGAGCCGGTGGTAAACACACACCACCCATTAGCACCTTCTTTCAAAAGAAGCAAGACAGGTCAAGCAGCCAAAGCTCAGAGTCTCTCCCCGCAGCTGCAGCAGCCACCACCGGTCCTACTCCCAAGCGGCTGCACTTCCCCACGGCCTTGGAGGAAGCAGAACAGGAGGCCCTCACTCACGGCATGTCAACACTGGCCATGACACCCAGCCAACCCGGTGACACAGCCGAAGAGGACAACCTCCCGGACATAGCAGTCGACTACTTCTAGCAGAACCACCACGGTTCCTGCCGAAGACCAACTGAAGTGGCCCTGGCACTCCTGAGGCAAAAGGCCAGCCTGTACCGGCCAAAAGGCCCAGATAAGCAACTCTAGAAAAAAAAACCTACATACATACATACATACCTACATACCTACATACCTACACAACTACACACCTACATACCTACATACATACATACATACATACAGGGGGTGTCTGGTAGCTCTAGCACTCTTTGGCTACCACTCATGGGATCGGCGGGAGCAATTTCACATAAGAATACATAAGATGGTTTCACGTTCGCCCCCCAACTTGTCCAACTTTCACTTTCCTGTGTGCCTGACTGTCATTCTGAAGCTCCGACAAGGCCTGTGCCATGTCAATGCTGCCAGTTACCATTCGTTCGGGTTTAGAAACGTTGCCTCTGCAGCCGCGTCATTTTGGGCAGCACGAATGGATCCATGTACTCCTTGCACATTCGAGCACAGGCAAAAGACCAAATTCAAACCCAAAGCATTGGACATATGCAAAACTGGTTGACTTGGTCAGCTGCTAAGTTGCAGACTCTTTGATCGAAAAACCTGCATGTCCAGGAGACAAACTAGACTTGACTCATCATGAGGATTGATCATACAATGAGGCTGGGAAAACCACCACGACCAACGCGGCGCCTTGGACACTGCTTGCCCGTTCTGTCTGAACCTGAGCGCATCAGTGCGGGCTAGGCTACATCATTCAGCACGATCCTGTCCATCTAGGGCACAGACTCCACACGGAACACGCAACGAAAACCGCTTGGCAAGGACTCAAACCTGCGCCAATGTCCATTGGAGGTCTGCGTAAGATTCTGCCAACAAAAACCGAAGAATCGAGGCACCCATCAAAGCGCAGTATGTAGCCGCTGCTTACACAAAGGGCTGCTAGCTCCCGATGTGCCTCCAAGCAGTTTGACAAATGCACTGACTTAAATGCAAAACTCCCTTTTGCGTTGGCCTCTGGTGGGGGCGGAGGTTGCGCCGGCTCCACCTTGCCAAATCATTCTGGAAGATTCTGGCAATCCCGTTGGTGGAAACACTGCTCTCTCCATGATTGCACCTCATCTTTCGAAGCTTCTCTTTCCGATTTAGCATCTGGCTAGGTTCAACAAAACTACTCAACACATGTCAAAACATAAATGCAAGCGAGTCGATGTTTGCTTGGCATTTTCGCCATAGCCTTGAACCGCAACAAAAGGAGATCGCGCAACTGGCGAACCTGTTGGACGATCACAAAGCTACAATTTCATCCCTTTGTTTTTTTCAGCAGCTGATTGAAATCCTCCCGCTGGATTACCCCGGCCTATCGTGCCTGCCACTGGGCGTGACAACGCAGCTGCGCCCAACAGTCGTTCGCACCTTGGGTTAACGCGTCGTGGTCACTTCAGCGGTAGGTGTCGCCAATCCGAGCATAAAACTCCAAACGCGGGCACATAAAAACACGTCTCATCTCTGCAAGCACCTGCTCCAAGTTTCAAAGAACCCGTTTGCTTTGGCCTCCTTGTCACCACATCCTTCTGATCACTTGTCATTTTCTCGTGATTGAAACAAACATGCAGCGAATCACTCATAAATTGTTTTTTCTCAGTTCGCGCGGCTTTCGCAGAAACCTGCGAACTTGAAAACATTATTTAGCCCATTTGACGTTCTTTCTGTGCACTGCAAAAACTGAAAGCATCATGTTTGTTTTTGGTTTGTGCGCTCCACTTTGACACTTATGTTTATATGTATACAGATCCACTGAGTGGGCAACCCGTGATTTTTTCAGTTGGACGAGCGCCACATCAGGTGGTTCCGGACGGCATTGGGACCTGATCGAATATCACATGTTAGTAGCCCCAACCCGCATCACGAAACACAAGGCAAGTACAGTGGCACTGTGCTATAGGCTTGGAAGATCTGGGCGGCCTCAATCCAACACAATTATAGATCATCTAGGGTCCACCTGCCCTAGCACGTTTCGACAAGAAGGTTCAGGTCGGGCGATCTGAAATAACACACCACACCAAAAACGCAAAGCAGTGCGCCTCACTTCCGGCACAGACCACCGGGCCTGCTCATCGGGCTTTGGTAGTTCACTCAAAAGCGGCTGTTGCCACCCATGACTTGCTGAATACAAGCAAGTCAAGCCTGCAAGACCACGATCACGGGCAAACCGCACAGCAACAGCCTTTGCCCACGCTCGCCGCATCTCGCAGCTTGCCCTATTGGTGTTGCGCCCCAAGTCTCCAAGTCTTCTGTATGGCAAGTGTCAGCTGTGCAAAACAGGAAGCAGGGCCGATTAATATACAAACACGATCAGGTGAAAAACTTTTTGGGGGCGCTGCATCTGGACGCCGCCTTGCATTGGTAACAGCGGCGCCTAGTGTACCAATATAACCCTTGCCAGCTGCCCACCCTCCCTCCCACCCACCTCAAAATAGATTACGTTTTATTCTTAGGTGCACCTGAGCTCCGAATTATTTAGGGGGTAGGGAGGGTCAGAAATAATAAACCACAGAGCATGTTAAGATAGGGGGGGAGGTGGTATAGACACCCACCTAGGTGGGTAGATATATGGGGACAGCTCCTAGGAAAGTGTTCAGTGATAGCAGAAGTAGGTGGTTCAAGCGCAACCACCTGCAAAGTAATTTATGGCCCTATTATCGGCGAAAAGCCTCGGCTTCAGATTATCGTCAAATTCTCTCTGGGAGCCATACTTTCCAGGGCATTCCAGAACCGACGCAAGACATCGGTCGGACGACCCTTGCTCAAACTTCCAAGCGTGGCGCCATAACTCCAACCTCACAGTCAAAGTCTACAGCCTCTACAGTCGGCAAAGCTCCCATCACCGAGTCGGGCACCGTAGCCCGTAGCCCCAATACGATGAAGGCCCAGAGCGGGCTTGACGTCTGGTTCAAAGCGCTGCCAGCGCTGGGTTGCTGCCAACAACTTGCAGCGAGCCTGCTTAGCTCTGCGCGCAAATCAAAAATCAGGGGCGGCAGCACGGACCTTTTCCCTCGAGCACAAACAAAGAGGCGGCTTTTGGGCCAGCTATCCTTGCCGGGGCGATTGCACCTGGCGCGACCTAGCGCGATCCAACAAAAGTTTTGAAGCAACGCTGAAGCCGTCTTTTCCCCTGCTTGGCCATGGGTTGCTTGAAGCGCGCCGCTTGCCTTTCACTTGGCCACGCCGCGTGCGGCGCCATCTTTAAGGATTTGGATTATATAGGAATTCGGCCTTTTCACCTTCAAGCCGGTAGGCTCTCTGGCCAGGTGTCATGTTGACAGCCGGCATGACTGGACCCAGGTTGCTGACAGGGAGGGCTTGGGTGGGAGTATGCTTGAGAGCGCGGTTCAAAAGTCATTCCTACAAAGTCAGGAATTCGCCTTTTCACCTTCAAGCCGGCTGCCGCGATTCAGGTTGCTTTTGGGCTCTACCCTTCACTGGGCTTTGCTCCGACTCGCTTGAATGTTGCCGATGATCCTACCAGAGATCACAGCCTTCGCGAAACTTGCCGCCACTCCCTGCAGGTGGACTATACCTCCCAGCCGATGACTTCGACTCCATGAAGGCTTTTCCCGAGTTGCAGCAAATTGGATCCGACTCACCTTCCTTGTTCTGATCATTCCATCAGCCTCCGCCGTGTCAGACTCAATGGACTTAACTTCTGAGGCCTGGATTTGGCCGTCAGTCTTGTCTTTGGACTTTCTGGGATTTCATGGACTTGCTTTGCACCCTTTGCTTATCCCTTTCCATCTTCTGGATTTGCTTGGGCTTACGTCGCTATTGGATGCAGTGTGCAGCGTGGTTTTGGATTTGGCATTCCCTCTCTTTGCCGTCCTATCCTGTCTACTGCCACTCCATCCTTAGCTGCCCCTCCGCTTCTCCTCCTGATGGACTTCTCATGGATAGCAGGTCTATAGGGGGCCGGTCGAGCCCATGTTTTTGGGTTTTGTTCGCGGTAGCTTTAGCCGGGGCGCTTTTGCCACGCCGCTACACCCTGCGCTTTCAGAAGAAGTCACTAAGGCTGAAAGGCGGGCAGCAAACGCTCTGATTGCGGACCGAGTGTTGAGGCCTCAGACGAGATCTCGCAGGGAGCAGTTGCTGGAGTTTTTTTGAAAAGTGGTTGATTGAGCAGCAGCGCATGACCCTTCCTCAACTCCTTGATCAGAGGGAGGTCGACGCTGAATATGTTTCAGAGATTTGGGTTGAGTATGGCGAACAGGTGTACTATCTGGGAAGCCTTATGGCAGGTACAGCGAAACCATAAACGCTGTTAGTGCTCGACGCCCGGTTTTGAGGAAAAACCTGGTTGGTGCCTGGGACTTAGCCTTCGCGTGGGTCTCTGATGAGCCCCACGCCCATCACCCTGCGACGCCGCTGTCGGTCGTTTTGGGTTTCAGTGGGTTGGCGCTCCTACGGGGATGGCCGGGGTCGAAGCCGCCCTCCTGGTGTGGAGTGTTGAGGGTTGGCGAGACCCTAGCTGCGCTTCGAAAAGACATCATCCTCCCCATGGACTCTGCCCCAGGCATCGAGTATATGCCTTGCTGCAGACCAGGGCCCCCAAAACACGTGGCTCAGCAGCCCGCCACCAGGCGGCTCGCATTGACCCTGATGATGTCGTCCAGCTTTTGACAGCTGTGTTTGGTCGGGTTCCTTCGACCCAGAGACTCTGGCCTTTCACAGAACCCTTAGAAGAAGGTTTCAAATGCTCCAGAAGTCTTTGGGCCTTCCCTCGGTCAAACTGGGGAACCAGGCCCCCTACGATTTGGCCTCTTTGCGCCCGCGCGGCGCAACATTTTTGTTGCAGCTGTTTGAAGAAGGCGGCATGGCAGGTGGCTTTCGTCTCGTGTCATGGAGATCTATCTTCAAGAAGTTTGTGTGGCGACTTTTGAAGAGAGAATGCCACCTGTCGCCCGCCAGAGGGTCTCGAGGATCGCGGCGGCTTTTCAAGACATCCTCGATAAGTCCCTCTAGTAGTGATTGTAAAAAGGCATAAGCTGAAGATCTCCCCTTTGACCTACCTAGCTCCCTTTGCAACCCTTGAGTCAAGTAGGGCTGCCAACGTCTTTCCTCCTCCTTCGAGAGCAAGCTTCTTTAGAAGTGTGACAAAAGCTCCACTCTCCAAAATGTTGATGTGGGCAGGAAAAGACCATCTCCATGAGGCTTGGACTCTCCAGCTCCATGTCATCAGAAGATCATTTGCGACAAGTGACTCAATGCCTGATATTGCCATCTCCTCTTTCTCCACAAGGAAGCCATCTTGTAGTGCTCGGTGGAAATGCTCGGCAAAATGCTCAGCAAGAGGTGGCGCATACTCAGCAGAGGGCTTCGTATACTTTCCTGCAATGACGACATGATCATTGACCTCCTGGACAGCGACGTTCCACATTCTTCATGTTGATCCGAAAAGCCAGGAGCCGGAATTCTTCGATGAGAGGATCCAAATTGGCATGAAGCAACAATGGCCTCCTCAACATGCTTGTAGTGCAGGAGGAATTGCCAAGTCGACAGCCAAGCCATCTTGGAAAGTCTGGGCTGTTCAACTAGTACTGGGACTTCCTGCAGGCAGCACACCAAGGCAGTGGCCAAGCAGCGGAAGGCGATGGTGTTCCCTCTCAGTGTCTTTGGCAGTCGGCGACCATAGCCCAGAGGGGTCTTGTAAGATCTGACCGCTGGATGAGCGGCAGGAGAGAAGGTGGTACAGACGGGCTCAACCATCACCGACTTAATCCTCTTTTTTCCGATCATGTAGATGATCCAGTCCAGAAGCTTCTAAGGAAAACATACACCAACAACGTCAGTACAGAGAGGAATCAAACAAGGGTAGTTTACAGCTGAGTGTGTGTGTGCCACCAGGTTTGTTAGCTTTGCTCCTATGAATGTTGAGGGCACGACTAGTCCACATCCAGGAAACCCACACTGGTGTTCCCAAGCATCTCGCTCCTCGGCAGTGACTCGCTTTTGACTGTGGCCAGCGTAATACACTTTTTTCTCCTGGCGTCGCCGGACTTGTCTGGGTTGCCGCGGTGGGGCAGCAGCCGGGCGGCGCAGGACGGCTTTTGGCTGAGGTCGAGGCTGCGCCTTAGCTGCGCGACGGCGTTGCCACCGTAGTTCGAGCCGCCTTTCATGGGCTGCTGGCGACCGTGCACGGCCACCTTCCGGGCGATGGGATAGGTCCCTCTCATATGGAAAAAGTCTGGCGTCTCATATCCGGTTTGGAGCATGTGCGCGGGCGGCGCTCACCTCACGAATCCATCACTACTCGTCACGCCAGGGCTGTAGGCCTGATGGGATGCCTGTCGGTCATCAAAGAGTGCTTGGGCAAAAGGTTGTTATACGCGGTCGCGAGCCACATCTTCGACGGTGGCCTCGTCAAAACCATGTTGGTGGCACAAGGTGATCCAAGCATCGGGTAAACTACGACGGTCGGCCGAGATGCGGCCACCATCCGAGGAGGCTAACCGTTGGAAGTTGCCGACGACAATAGCGCCACGCGCAAAGGTCTTGGCGTAGGTGCTTTTGCAAAAAGGAGTCGTGCGACAAACATGCCCGAGCCATCGCATCTGTTCACGCTCCATAGCTGCTTGAACTGGCGGGATTTGAAGCTTGTGGCTCTCAGGTCATTGTGATTCACCCGTTGGGCTTGCATTTGGGAAAGCCTGGCGCGACAAAGATAGCGACAGGCAGTGTTCATAACTGCCTGCGTGCGGGTTATGTCCCGTTGTCGAGTGACACGAGTTTTGCGCGAATACGCAAGACCACTATACAGGAACGCCATCAGGAGGCGTCCCCTTTGCTTATACGACAATTTGGTATTCTTGAGCGCTGGCCGAACCTGTGCCCAACATTTCACTGCCTCTTCAGGCACGACGCCGCCACCAACCAAGCAAACATTAGTGGCATTGCCGAAAGTACGCCGTTCCCGTTTGCCATATGTTCCCTTGATCCCCACTCGGAGACCGCAGTGGAAAAGACATCGAGGCCCGAAGGGCCGCGGTCATCGGCAGTGTTTAAGCTCAGAGTTGGACCCGAGCAATGCGGCGTCGTCCGCGAAGCGGCGAAGAGAGTCACTTCGACTTGAGTCTGGTGGCATGCACGGTCGTCGTTTTTTCGAGTCCAGCCGGAGTTCAACTCCAAATGTTCTTTCCAGCGCCAGGGGATCCCGCATTGAAGACCTCTTTGTGCCGCATTGGCGCGGCGCCGTTGCAATGCGTAGCGAACAATGGCGCTGTACAGAATGTTCCAAGACCATGGAGAGGTCCCGTCGCCTTCTCCAAATCCGCGCGCAGGTTTGTAGGGCGCGCTCAGCGAAGCAGGGGACAGGTCTGGTCCTGTCTTTATGCAGTACACTCGACGGCAGTGGAATCCACGTAGAGCATTGCTAAAAGGTCCATCAGCATGGATGCCATGGCGCTGCGAAATGTGCCAATAAGGCTGCTTAGTGGCGGTCGGGTAGATCCATGTTTTGCTTCTCTCTGATTCTTTGGCGGCGTCGCTCCCGCCTCTTGCGGTTGCGAGCGCTCTGCGTTGAAAAAACTGTTGCGCGTGCAACTGCGGGACTAGCAACATGCTGTCGAAAAATGCGCCCATCGCGATCATGCTGGTTGCCAGCAAAGCCACTATGACACGCGGAACTAGTGCTGCTAAGGACAGGTGGAGGCGCAGCAAATTCCACCCCGTTTGCTGAAACATGTGTGGTGGGTTCGTTTGGCACAGCATCAGTAAACATGGAAAACTCTGAGCTGCTGGCAGAAAAGCAATTGAAACCTGAAGCGCTCTCTGCGCCTTTGCCGAGCCTTGAAGTCACCGTCAGTAACTAAAGGCTCGCCAACGGCGCAAAGGCCTTTCCCCGAGAGTAGCCTGCAAGACTCCGATTTGCGAAGACTCCTGCAGGGGGATCCTCCTGCAGTGACAGGAGGAGGCCAAATGTCCTCCAGCCTGCCTCCATCCAATGCGGCTTGCTCCAAGCAGACCGCCAGAAGGGCGACCCCGTCCTTTGCAGCACCGATGTTCTCGTTCTGCAAATGATCCAAAATCATGGCCACTTGCCACATGATGTGGCCCAGATCCCTGGGCCGGCCAAAACCGCCGAAGCGCTCCACATACTGAGTTGCCACCACCCCTCTTTTGCCAAGATCGGCAGGGTTCAGGTCTGCAGCCTGAGCCGGTTGCATCCTCCGTGCCATAGAGCAAAACACTGATTTGAAGAACGTACCTCGGTGAAGGGCAAGCTCCTGTTGTAGTTTGGCCCTGCCTTGTGCCCCTTTGATCGACATGCCCAACCCTGAGCTGTTGTCCAAGGTGAGGTCGCCCGAAGCCATCTGATTGACCAAAGTGGATAAGGCTTGGGACTGAGCCAAGATTGCTAATGCCAGATCTGGGTTCTTCTCGACCTCCATCTCGGCAGCTTGAGCAGCAGTGCCTGGAGGATCGCTCAATGCATGGATCCCCTGCTTCAAAGGCGTTCTGATCGCAGAACTTCCTCTAGCAAACCACTCAATCTCTGTGGCGTGGGAGACGATCCAGGCATAGCTAATTTGCCAAGCGGCTGTTGTAATGCTGATGGTCGGCTTGAGCCCGAAGTGAATTGGCCCTCCAAGTCCTCCGTCTTTTGTCTCAAATGCCTCAGCTCCTCCATGATCTGAGGCAGTGAGGACTGGATTGCTGTAGCAAGACTGGCTACTGTAGACCCCTTCTTCGGCTCTGCCGCAAAGCTCCTCCTCCTTCTCCAATGACAGCGGCTGCTTTGGCTTTGGCGGCAGCCTTGCGAGTCTTGGCAGTTCTCGGCGGAGTATCAACGAACTCCTCCTGAGCAGAGTAGAAACCCACCCTTTCGCCTGAGCTGGGATCGACAATCCATGACCAAGCAGCGGAGGTAAGAGGCTCGACCAAAGGGAACAGATGATGCTGATCTGCGCAAAAGTAGAAAGGCTGCGAGGAGAAAGGCTGCGAGCAAGCTGCCAAAGCCGGGACTGGAGAGGCCAAAGAGCTGAGAGGTTAAACCAAGGTGCGCAACCTTGAGGAAACCTATGGCCGAGTCCATGTACTACGCTTGTATGCTTGAGAGCGCGGTTCAAAAGTCATTCCTACAAAGTCAGTAGCCCCCCCTCTCAATCCCCCCAGGAATAGTTTGGCAATTATTCTGACTACCCTCGGCATGGTTTTCTGAAAACTATTCTGGGACTGCTTTAGTTGCTGGAATAATTTATGAATATCAATGATGTATCGCCACAGAACCCCCTGCGAGGCCGCATGTAGGAGTTAGCCAACCCTGACCAGAAGCCTTACTAGCTTTTGCCATCCTGTATACAATCTCCATAACCCCCAGAAACTATTGCAGGAGTGGTTCAGTTCTGGCAGGGGCCTTGAATAATATCCCCTCCCCTGTTTGCCTCTATACCTAGCCATGTCTGCCACTATGCCTCACCCAAAACCCATCGCAAAATCCTTAAACCTCAAGCTTTCCCAACCCAAACCAGAAGACTTACTGATACGTTTTCATTCTGATCCCTATTTCCTGCGCGCGATAGAATTATTCCAGGGGTGGTTCTGTTCTGGCGGGTGCCTGGAATGCCCTGTCGGTCCCTGGAAAAAAGAAACCAACCCAAAACATTAAACATTAGCAAGCTTCCCAACCCTACCTACACCACAAGCTCTACTAGTGTTTGAACCCAGGGTCGGAAAGTTTTTTTCCAGGGACAGACAGGGCAGGTGATATTATTCCAGGCCCCCACCAGAACAGAACCACCCCTGGAATAACTTTATCACGCGCAGGAAATAGGGATCAGAATGAAAACGTATTAGTAAGTCTTCTGGTATGGCTTGGGAAAGCTTGAGGTTTAAGGATTTTGTGATGGGTTTTGGTGAGGCATAGTGGCAGACATGGTTGGGTATAGAAGCTGAGGCAAACAGCAACAGGGGAGGTGATATTATTCTAGGCCCTACCAGAACTGAACCACCCTGGAATTATTTCTGGTGGATATGGAGATTGTATACAGGTTAGGCTGAGTTAGCTGAGTTAGCCATTACTGCGTCAGCGAAAGTATGCCAAGGATGGGCGACGTAATGATTATTCTTGAGGCCACCTGACACGTACGTTCTGGCAATCACGTTTTGATGCCCTCCTCAATCTACATCATTCTACCTAGCGCTATCATCTGCTACGTTTTCACCGTGCTCCTTTTGCCTTCCCCTGCTAAAAGAGCTTCGAGGCAGCGTCGACCAATCATGACCAATCAATGTTTCTGACAATTCACATCAATTCACTGTATACATCTGTATACCTCTAGTTATAGGTTTTTTGAAATTATTCCAAGGGACCCTTGACCTACCCCTGCCCAAGTTTATTACGCAAAAAAAATATTCTGAAAACTTATTCCATGAACCCACAGGACCCCTGGAATAATTAAATAAATAATCCAACATCTTTATAGGTGAGTCTTCATCTATCCATAGCGCGCAACAACTTCGAGAACCTGTCCGTCATCATCTCGAACGGCCCCAGGGTATCTTCCACGGGTGAGGCGAGACGCTCTGAGCAACGGTGAACCTGACTCGCTGAAGTACAGGTAGAGGGGGCCTCTCCCTGCCCGTTGAAACCTTCAAAACTTCGAGCGGCTTTCCTGAAGGCTTGAAGGGCAACGGTTGGTGAATTGACAACGCGCTGAGCTCAACAAACGACAAGTTTTGGAGATTGGGCTACAGACCGTTCATCTTGAGGTCATGGCGGCGCAATGGCGCCGACCACGGAGATGATCTCGCATACGGAGCCTTGCGTCTGGTCTCCAAAAGCCTATAGCTACCAGCAGCTACTGCTTTGCAAAGCGCGAACAAGACTTAGAGGCCAAACGGTGTGGCAAACGCTGCGCCGCAGATTGAGCAGCGTCGCAGCCCATCTTGCAAAGGGGCATCGCAAGCCTCGGCGAAAAAGATGAATAGAACAAAAACAAATTGCACACGCTTTGCAGCCGAAAGGCGACTGCTTGCAGACACGCTATGAGCAGCTCCAAGTCTGGTACACGCTCCTGGCTCTCTGTCCTTAAGTGACAAGGCAACGAAAGCCAGCGGCCATACTGGCCTTTCTTCTAATTCTATACTTTGGCCTGGGCTCAAGTGTAACTACACAAACTAGACTCTCTTGTCACCAGACTTGAGGCGTGCGTTTCATTTGAGCTCGCTCAGCGTGGTTCAACATTGACAAGTACTGAACAATATATATAGGCAGCTGGAAGGACAAGGTCTGACGCAAGGGAGAACAGCGCCCCAAGGAAATTTTAGCTACAAACAGAGAGCTCCTTCTTGACTTCTTTCAAGCTTTGGTTCCATCTCGCCGGATGGGTGAGCGCAAGGAAAGTCTGCGGCAGACGTGGGCGCATGACGTCAGAATTCAATGTCTTGTTTGCATACCCAAACCTAAAACAAAGTGTTTGACGCTTCACACCAAACAGCAAAGAAGCCTGCATGAGTCCGCGAGCACTAACACTAAGAAATAGATAGGCAGGCAGGTAAGCAAATAGCAGTAGGATTCTGTAAGCAGAAAGCCGAGCAGTGAGGCGCTCAGAAGAAGTGGGTTGCCAGGGCAATCTGCAAGAGACATTCAACATGCAGTGAAAGGACTCAATGCCCAGCGCAGATTGAAAAATCCCTGCGATTTTTTGCAATAGCTAAGGACTGGTTTCACACGGTTACAAGTGAGAAACTCTGGGCTCCAAGCGGAAGCGCGAAGCATCTTTGGAGCACTCGAAGCATCGGCTCTAGCCTGTAGCCGCGCGCAGCGGCGGCACGTCGAATTAAAACACGACCAACCACCACAGCCAGCACCAGCAGTGAAGACGATGATGACGATGATGATGATGAAGAATATCACGGTGATGTGGAAAAGGAGCCATGACGATGATCCTGAGACAGCAAAACACCTGACAGCCAGACACTCTGATACTTTTTATCCCGCGGCGCATGGGTGGCCGCAGGTAGAAGGCTGGCCCTGTTCACAGGCAATCAGACCAAACCACCTGCAGCTCGCCATTCTCGATGATATTGTTTCCAATGTCCCGCCGTCAAGACGAGCGTGTCAAACCAACAGCCAGAAACGGGCGCGGACGCCCTTGTTCTTTCTCCTACAGAAGCTTGCCAGCGACAAACCGCGTTTACGCATGTGCGCTTTTCGTTTCCCCATGGCACGGAGACATCACAGACGCAATTTCGCCACACTGCGTCTCACTGACTATAGTTTCTAGGCCAAGCAATAACCCCCAGCGACACGCCAGGCTTACGCACGCTTTTCGTTCTCCAATGGCGTGGAGCCTTTCCACCGACACCGACGTCGCGGCAAAACCGCGCGGCGCAGCGACAGACGCAATTTCACCACGCGGTGCGCCACAAGCTAGATATACAACGGTGAGCCACCAAGCTTGCCGCTCGCCAGCGACACCCCAGCTGCTTCCCGCGTCACCTTTGCACTTTGTACTGCAAAGTTGCCAGTTCTCAGGCCAGAGCTCCCAGAAGCCGCTGCCTGTACTACATGCGCGCTGCAAGGTTGCCACTTCTCAGGCCACAGCTCCCGCGCTACAAAGTTGTCAGTTCTGAGCCCACAGCTCCCAGAACCCCCTCGATAAAGTTCTCAGTTCTGAGGTACAATCGGCGTGACGGTTACACTCTGCAACTGTAAGTTCCACCTTCATTCAACTCGCGATGACAGTTACACTCTTTGGCAGCTTCCAGGTCACCTTGAATCGACGAGACTTAGACGCGCCCGATCCCCGCAAAGGCAAGATCCCTGCAAAGGGGTCGCGGCCAAGCAATTCATGTTTCACCTCACGTTTGAGCACTCGACACGCACGATCTCCGCAGAGGGCCGTCCCAGGTACAAACTGATTTGCATATCACCACGTGCATCCAACACACAGGACCTCTGCAAAGGGTCGCGTAAGCATCAGCCAGACCACCCCGCCACCTTAAGAAGATCAGGAAGGCGTCGAAGTTGTAGTTGCGTAGGTGTCTTCAAACGCTTGTATCTAATTATGTAGGTGTGTCAAAGCAGGCGCATCAACTTAAAGGTTGATGGCAACGCTGACACCGCCTGCAAACGGACGCACCACCCGGACTTGTGCACTGAGTGAGGATTTGTTGCGCCAGCTCGTGAAGCGAGCTACTTCCTGGCCAGATTTGTGCTTGCAGCCGCACAGTGTGCTGAAATCATGGCCACGGACCAGCATGTATGAGGTAGCACAGGCTCAGCTGACTACTGCTGATCTGTCAATGCAGCTTTCAAAGCTTTTCAGATGACCATATGTGGTGAAGTGAAGTACAGACTCGCCTCATCGAGGTTAAGGTGTCAACGCAATCTCATGAAGTTGAGGGCGTCGCAAAAGAAAGAAACGTCGTGAAAGAAAGAAAGAAAGATAGATAGATAGATATACAAATGATTGTGATGTGATGATCGTTGGACAGTTGAAGTTGGCAGCTGTTCTTCACAGAGAACCCTTCGCCCTTCGCCGGTGCTTTCGGGAAAAAGTATAGAAACAGGGAAAGTAAGGCCCCCCTCAAGGACACATTCGTCTCCTCCTTTTTTCCTTTTCTTCTGTTTGACGCAAAAGGACCAGGTCCTGGTAAAGGATTTATCTCCAATGTCGAGACCAGCGAAGGCACATTGTCCCTCTCTGCAACTGGTCACAGGTCATCTCTTCTCGTCCTTGCTTCAACTGCCTCTTTGCGCTTGAGGTATTCCTCTAAAGGGATGGTTTGGGTGACTGTCCAGCGACCTGGTATTAGCGACCCCTTACAACTGATAGGATCTCGTGCAGGTGCATGAGGATGACAAATAACATCTTTCTCCCAGTCCATCTCGTGATCAACGTTTTCCAAATACCATTTCAAATCTTTGCAGCCCAGTTGATCTCGCAACTCATTGTAGTTGGCAATCACCTTGTCCATACCAGTAAGCTTCATTGGGACAGCTTCAGGTTTCATTTTGTAGAAATAGTCCAAGTGGTCCTGTCACAAGAAAGAGGGCAATGCTTTGAACAAGAAGTCATCCACTCTTGAAGCGCACGTGCTTGCGCCGGCCTGTGCCCAAAGCTCGGCCAATCGCTTGTAGTTGTGGACAACCGTGTTAACGTCAACATCGTAAGGCCTTGCAAGGTTGATGAAATGTGAGGAGAAGGCCTTTAATATGGATGCAAAAGTAGTGCAACAGGAATGAAAAATGATACTGTTTTAGGTTGGAGGCCATTCCTCTTAGGTTTGTTTACTTCTATGTTTTTCACTCCACCATGACCCTGCACCTGTGACTTGGATCTCGGAACAAGTGTCCCACACGGGAGCAAGGAACTATCTCAATGCGTCCACCACAACGCCAAACCTGCACGCAAGTAATCTGATGTGAGGCTATCACCAAAAATGATTTCAATCGGTCACCGTTGAGTTGAGTCAGTCAGGTTTGTGCAGCTTAGACGCCTTCATTGTCAGCTCCATGTGGTCACCTGCACCACCCCGCAAAAAGAACTGGAACCTACATGTTCAAAACTCATCATTGTCTTTGACAAGGGCCTTAAACACACAGAGTTTTGGGGCATTCACTTTTGACACGTTTGTTGCAAAAAGTTCCAACCCTGTGATTTGAGCTGAGCGTGCCCAAACTCTGCTCTTAGCACAAAGAAAAAAACCACGCTTACAGTAGAACATAGGGGAAAAGGAACAGCTACATTTCATGAAAAAGATTGCATGCTTTTCACTTTGCTGCAGCCTGTTGAGCATACACTGCGGAGAGCGCCCTTTAGATCACAGCTCATGTACTCAAGAAGCTGTCACAAGTAGACACGGCCACAGTCACGTACAAACGAATACGTTCACATCTTTTGGTGTTGGCACATCGCTGGTGGTGTCACCACACCTTGTGTGGGCAAGTTTTTTTTGAAAAGCAACTTCATACTTAGAACATCTCGTTGTGTTTGGTGACTAAGTGCTACAGTGCCATACTTGGCACCCTGTTTCCAGGTATGATCATTTCTTTCCAAAGTGCGTTCCCATAATTGTCCAAGACATACATAGTATGTTACAACATACACTGTATGTATATATATCTTGATATTAGAGATTATCAAGTACTATACAAAAAGTTCCGGGCAAGCCGGCGGCGGAAGTTTCCAAAAGAATAAACCTATAGGAAATGGGCCTGTGGCAGGCTGATTCGCCGAGCTGCGATGTTCTTTTACAAAACAAGTTGGAACCGACCACTGGAGCGAAAGCGAAGCAACCACCGTCAACTGTCTCGCAGGAAAAAACGTTGTTCATGCATTTTTGCAAGATACAGAATAGAGATGACTCAGCCGCGTACTAAAGTTGCACTACAAAGTCGCCAGTTCTCAGCTTCCAGCTCCACGGCTTGCTCCGCGTACTAAAGTTGTACTACAAAGTCGCCAGTTCTCAGCTTCCAGCTCCCCAGATACCCCGCGTACTAAAGTTGGCCAGTTCTCAGCTTCCAGCTCCACAGATTGCTCCGCGTACTAAAGTTGTACCAAAAAGTCGCCAGTTCTCATCTTCCAGCTCCCCAGATACTCCGCATACTAAAGTTGTACTACAAAGTCACCAGTTTCCACAGATGCTGTGCCTGCCACGAAATCTGCACGTGGAAGTTCACAAAGTGCTGCGCCTGCCACGAACTCTGCACATGGAGGCTCGCAAAGTGCTGTGCCTGCCACGAAATCTGCGCATGGAGGTTCACAAAGTGCTGCGCCTGCCATGAAATCTGCACATGGAGGTTCACAAAGTGCTGTGCCTGCAACGAAATCTGCACATGGAGGTTCACAAAGTGCTGCACCTGCCTCGAAATCCGCACATGGAGGTTCACAAAGCGCTGCACCTGCCACGAAATCTGCGCATGGAGGTTCACAAAGTGCTGCGCCTGCCATGAAATCTGCACATGGAGGTTCACAAAGTGCTGCGCCTGCCACGAAATCTGCACTTCAAGAAAAAACGCAAACATCTAATCACAATGGAGGGACGATTCCGAGCATGATCCGACCATGATCCGAGAATGACCCGAGACCGTCTTGCACACATCGTTCCGCAAAGCTTGACTGGCCAGCTTCGGAGCCACCCTGTCTATTGAAAACCACAGCATTTCGTGCCTCCGCTATCCCTCGAAAACGTATTTTGTATTGCGCCTGCCACGAAATCTGCACATGGAGGTTCACAAAGCGCTGTGCCTGCCACGAAATCTGCACATGGAAGTTCACAAAGCGCTGCGCCTGCCACGAAATCTGCACATGGAGGTTCACAAAGTGCTTTGCCTGGCACGAAATCAGCACATGGAGGTTCACAAAAGACTGTGCCTGCCACGAAATCTGCACTTCAAGAAAAAACTCAAACATCTAATCACAATGGAGGGACGATTCCGAGCATGATCCGACCATGATCCGAGAATGATCCGAGACCGTCTCGCACACATCGTTCCGCAAAGCTTGACTGGCCAGCTTCGGAGCCTTTCTTTCTATTGAAAACCACAGCATTTCGCGCGTCCGCTACCTCTCGAAAACGTATTTTGTATTGCGCCTGCCACGAAATCTGCGCGTGGAGGTTCACAAGCGCTGTGCCTGCCACGAAATCTGCACATGGAGGTTCACAAAGTGCTGCGCCTGCCACGTAAACTGGAGCTAGAGCTCCTGAAACTAGAGCTAACTGGAGAGCTAACTGGAGCTGGAGAGCTCTTGAAACTAGAGCTACCTGGAGCTAGAGCTCTTGCAACTGGAGCTAACCGGA